CTTTTTATCTGTTTGAACGATTTTTAATTTAACCATCAGTATGACAAAAATATTGTGATTTTTTTTTTCATCACGTCTTTCTGACTTTGTGATGAGACTTTGGAATTAGCTGAAATGTTTCATTTATTAAATATAAGCTATATGATGAAACATTTACCAGGTCAGAAAGCACACCCGCTGTATGCCATTGCTGGTGTTTTCCTGGGAAGCCATCCCACTTTTAAAGAAACTACAATGGCAATAAATCCAACTAAATTCCAAGAATTTGTACTAAAATAAGTTCAATTTTCATCTGGAGAAGTTGTTCTCAATTATGTCCACTAGGGGGCGACAAAAGACAACATTTTATCTCTGAGTTTTTATCAGCTCTTTCTGTTCAGGTTGGTTCATCCTGTATTTTTCTACATGTCCACACTTGTAGTTCTGTGAGCTTATATTTGTTTAATATAGACTCTGAGAAGAAAAAATYGTCAGAGTTGTTGTCCAGTTGTGCTGTTTTGTCACCACAAAGGAATGTGAGAACCTGCAACATATAGAGGAAAGTTAAAATGGTAAATATAAATTCCATTGTTTAAATGCATGTAATACATTTTATACAGCTTAGAATAACTTGACACACTTGTTGACCAGTAATACTGATATTTTTTTTTGTTAAAAAAAGCCATTGAATTAAACTTGCACGTTTTAATATGTTCACATTAAAAGAGAATGGATTTACTGTGGTTTTATTTTAAACTAATGAAACATTTTAAAAGTGAAAGGCCTGTATTTTTAAAGGAATACATATTGCGTGCTGCCTTTCTCACAGAGTTTCAGACACCTGTGGCCTGCAAAGGTAGAGGTTAAAGAAAAGGATGGRTTTCTCAGTTCATGTGCAGTGTTGACCACAGGGAGGCGCTGTTGCAGTGCAGTGCAATCCGCATCAGACATTTCCAGAGGAATCCTGCYATAAATCAAGCTGCAAGAAGGTGAAGTTAAATATACCTATAGGATTTCTCTGAACAAGCTGTAAGAAATCATGTTTTAGTACCACTGTGTGTGGGGTGTATGTGTCAGCGCAGGTACTCTTGTCTCTTAAATCCATTTCATCCTTGTTTAATTTGAAGAGCATTTTATTGACAGTCGTTTCTTTTCTCACCTCCACTTGCTGTTAAACAGGATGTGCACACTAATCCTTCTGCTGTTTTTTAATTACAGCTGGGACAGAAGGTCAGTTTCACACTTCACAGTTTAAAATAGCATTTGTTTCTTTTTATCAAGAGCAACTGTGGAAGGTTTCATGAATTATATGTGAAGAACGTTTGTTTTTAAAACATTAAGGGGGAAAATAGAGGGATGTAAACTTTAAAAACTGTTCACAATAATAAGAATTTATAAAACTAATGTTCCAAGAAAGTGATTCCATCAGAAAGTGTAAAGAAAAATAATGTGAGACTGATTTCCACTAAGAGGYAACAAAAGACTGAGCATTAGTCTGCAGATAGAAACTGAATGGAAACATAAGACTGAGGGTTAGAGGTAAGAAAGGATCTTTTGGTAATTCTCTCCTAAGTGTTAATACTTTTAAACCACAGGTTAGCTGCAGCACAGGAGCAGATTTCTCAGTCCATTTTTAAGCTTTTAAAAGTGAAACAGAGAAATTGAAACTGCAGAGAGCCGCTGCTCCTCCACGTCGAGAGGAGCCAGTTGAGGTGGTTCGGGCATCTGGTAAGGATGCCTCCTGGACGCCTCCCTGGTGAGGTATTCCGGGCACGTCCCACCGGGAGGAGGCCCCGAGGAAGACCCAGGACACRCTGGAGGGACTATGTCTCTCGGCTGGCCTGGGAACGCCTTGGAGCTCCCCCGGAGGAGCTGGAAGAAGTGGCTGGGGAGAGGGAGGTCTGGGCCTCCCTTCTGAAGCTGCTGCCCCCGCGACCCGACCCCGGATAGGTGGAAGAAATGGATGAATGGAAAAGTGAAACAGACTCTGAGGATGCAGACTTATAGGACCGAATCAGGAATTAATTTCATTGTAAAAATGTAATGGTTTCCTGATTTTAACATACATTTTTTTAACCATCTAACATACTTTGTGCTATTTTAGCCATATTAAATTGTTCAGTTCATTCAAGAAACACATGTCATGACTTTTGTGTTTTGTAACTTTTATGCTTGGTTAAAACTTTCTTTACAAACAGAAAATCACTGAGATGACTTCTTTTTAAACTCTTCGCATCTAGCCAAAACTTTGATAAAATTTAGCTTTTGTAGTGTTTTGCTATACTTTTTTATATTTGTTGCAAACATTTTCCAACTTTCAACTTTTGCCACTTTTAGGTTTTATCAAACTTGTTGCTTTTGTTTTAGCTTTTAGCTAATGTTCAGCTTCTTTTAGCTTTAATGTTCCAGCTATGCTCAATTTTAGCCGATTCATCAGCATTCAATGCATGTCTGCAGAAAATGCATTTTTAGATCTTAGTTTAACCTTTGAGCTTACAGGCCTGCAGATAGGCTGCATTGAAGGAAGTATCCGTTTTGCCAGTTTTAAAACAAATCAAACAGCCTCATAAATCCAGAAGTGAGACTTTATCAGAACAAATCGAGCCTTTAAAGTCTTTTTCCACACTGATGGACTTGTGGATGTGGCGCGTATGTTCCACCTTCTGGGCTGGAGCAAGCAGCTGTTCTCCCACAGGAATCACACCCCTCCTGTGGGCAGTACGAGATATTATTTATTTATTTTTCCTTTTTTCCAGGGGGCCAATCACATCGTGGCTCCAAACACAAGAGCCCATCAGGTTTCGGCTGTGGCTGCTGGGCACCGGCGGGGCGGTGCACGCGCACGGGCGCCTCTCAGACGCGCGTCAAACTCCTCCGAGTTCGGTTAAATCGACGACTTCTGAAATTAAACGATGCTTTGCGCTGCAAAAACCGCGAGAGTTTGAAGCGCGTGTCGTTCAGTTTTGTCCAACTTTGAGGAGCAGACGGCTGCTTCAGTCCGCGCGGACGCAGCAGCAGCTCCTGAGGAGGAGGAGGAGGAGGAGGAGGAGGCTGGATGAAGCAGGAGACGGGTCACTGAGCTGCAGAGAGCCGGGCGCCACTTTCCTCCGTTCCCCGCAACTCTTGAGTCCCATGTCCCCGGACAGGATGCTGCTCATCGGACTCCTGCTCAGTGTCTTCTCTCAAGGTAAGCAGCTGTCCTCTCATTTCAGTGTTTATGAAGCCATTTATACAGATCTGTGTTTTTGATTGACTGATCAAATGCAGCAGTTTYATTAGAAATAACAGCAAACAGCTGTTTCATGTAAATGTGAAGTGGCAAGATTTTCTGAGTTGAATGAAAAGTTGAACTTTTTTTCTATTTTCACCCATTAATCGTTTAAAAGACAATTACAATAAAAGGAAATAAGGATGAACATGTGGGAAAGAGCCTCACCAGAATGAGACATTTCATTTGCAGCTGTTTTAATCTACTCTGGGTTTGAGTTAAACTACTGAGACATAAAATCGAAAAGCCTTTTCTGCTTGTGGCAAAATAAGTAGTTGACTTTTTTTTTTAAAGTGGATGACATCATGAGTTCAGGTCTGTTATCTMTGCCTTGCTTGGACCAGTTCCAGGCAAGAGCTCTCCCACATAATGAATGAACTGTGGCAGGTCCTGCAGATATCTCACATGCAGTGTTCAGCTGGAAATAAGCTTAAAACAAAGCCAAGCTGTGACACGATAAACAGGTGAATCTTCATTTTTAGAACTCCAGGGAAGCCGGGGATGTGTTGGCGGCGTTTGTATCAGTCTTTGTTTTTGATCAGATGGAGACAAATCTGTCTGGTGCACTTTAGATGTTTCTCTGATTGTGCAGAGAGGAAACACGCTCACTTCTTCTCTAAATGAGTTATATTAAGGATTAGCATTCCTCAGTCAAGCCCTAAAATCAYTGTGGTGTCTCATGCTCAGARTATGTGCTGTGAATGACTCTCAGCTACTACCACATCAAATTTTAAGGCACAATCTGTAACATGGACTATGTTGCAGCCATTTTTGTGCTGTCAAAGCTTGATCAGCTGCGGCGGCCACCTTAACTCAAACTGACTTCAAATTTTAATCAGCTGCAGCTGCATATCCAATGAATAGATATTGAAAGTTTCAATTAAATTTATCAAGTGGTTCTTGAGATATTTTGCTAACAGGCAAATTGGGTCAACTCCCAACAGTTACTGCTAAAATTTTAAGAAATAATATTGCACAGTGAGTAGCACTTAGATTATGTGTTGTTAATGACTCTCAGCTACTACCACACTAAATACTAGCTCAGTATTTATAAAATTCGCTGATGTTTAACCATTTTTGTTTTAGATTAAGTTGATTGGCGTTGCCGCCATCTTTAACCAGATTCACTCCAAAGCTAAATCAGTTGTAGCTCTACATCTGCTGAATATTTCCTGAAAGTTTCATCAAACTAAATCCAGTGGCTCWTGATATATTTTGCTAACAGACAGATATCATTGCCTCTAAATAGTTAATGGCAAAATTTTCAATGACTCTCTTGCACAATCTGGTCACCCTGAAAAAATGTGTTTGGGATTAGTCTCAGCTAGAACCACACCAAACCTAAGGTCAGTATCTGTAACACTGACTGATTATAATTGTTTTTGTCTTTTTTATAAATCAGCTGGCTTTGGCAGTCATATTAAATCAGACTGACTCCAAAAGTCAATCAGTTGTAGATGTACAGTGAATGATTCCTTTTAGCAAATTTCATTAAAAAAGTTAAGACAGTTCATGAGATATTTTGTTAACAGACAGCTTTACACCCTGACTTGAAGCCAGCCTTGTGCAGCAGGTCATGTTTTATGACCAGCAGTGTGTACCTCTCCCAAGGGGCTCAGCGCTGCAGAAAAGCATATCAAACATGGTAATTGTTTGGAGGATCTACAGCTCCTCTGCATTAAGGAACAGTCTAACAATCTCAGATGAGGCTCCCCCCATTAGAGATGAGCATGGCAAGATGATAAACGCTTCCCTGTGAACGTCAAAAGCTCTCAGGCAGCAGTAAATCACACGCAGCACTTAGGTGAAATCGCACCAAGAAAAGCAGTTATTTTCAAGTGCAAATTAATTGAGATGTGAGTCATTACACATGCAAATGAGGTAGTCTGTCATCTTGTCAAACTCTGCTATTATACCTGATTGGAAAAAAAAAAGAAAGAAAGTTGAGCTTAAATTTTATTAACTGACATTAGCAGAATTTAGCCTTGAATCAGGTTTGGGAAGGAATCCATTCCAGAGCTGCTTTGGATGTACAGAGTGTTTTTTTTTTTATTCCAGATATTTTTTAAAACACAGTTCTCGCCTTGCTACAAAATACATAACAAATAGGCAGTGAAACGTTACGCGACATTCATTATATCTAACCTCGTCTGAGTCTGTGACCTCAGCGGTGATGATGGGGGACTTTAGATCCCAGCCTCCCCASAATGTCTGTCATCAGGACTGAGGCACGAAAGAGGAGAGCTGAAAGTTCCACATCTGCTCCGGTGCTTCATTCATCAGCATTCAGCAACACGTATTTAAAACATAAACTGTTTTGGTCACTTCCTGCGGCTTAATGCTCAGTGTACATCTTTATTCTAACAGCTAATCTAYTGTTTGCCTCTGATTGTGTTAACATCTGTTTCTTTTCACAAAGGACCTCGTTAGTTAAAGGGCATCTCAAACATACATCATGAGATATTTTAAAAGAAGCCCWAAAAGAGGCAAATGCATMTTTGGATTAAAGTCCTAGCATTGCTCATAACAGAGTTTTAAACTGAAATTGTCTAATAATGAGGTGTTCTAAACGTTTTGGTCAAACCTTGTTGTGAGATCTTGCACATTCTGTTAGTGCTCAGAGTAAGTGTTGAGGATACCTCTCAGCTACKACCACACCAAAGCTTAGCTTAATATTTGTGAATCGGACTGAATTACAGCAATTTTTTTTGTTCCGGCTAAGGTTGATCAGCTGTGGCAGCCATCTTGAATGTGGTTGACTCCAAAAGTTAATCAGCTGTAGATGTCAACCCATTCAGTATTTTCTGAATGTTTTATTAAAACACACCCAGCAGTTCATGAAATATTTCGCAAACAGACACGGTTGACCTCAAATAAACAACAGCACAGGTTTTAACAAGGATCTTGCGTAATCTGTTAGTGCTCAGAATACTTGTAGGGGATGAGTCTCAGCTGCCACCACAACAGATTTTAGGTCAAAATCAGTCAAATTGACTGAGGCATCTGCATTTTTTTGTTTTCTAAGTTGGGTTAACTGTGGCAGCCTTCTTGAATCAAGTTGTAGATATAGATCTAATGATTGCTTTCTGAGATTTTTATAAAAAAATCAATTAGTGGTTCATGATATATTTTGCTAACAGACAGACAAACACAGGTAAAAACATTATTGCCCTTTTAAATGCCAGTTGACCTGACTTTGACCCGTTGCTGTYGGGCCCCTGCGGGTTTTAGCTGCAGTCCCAGCTCAGACTGTGACTGCTGACTGAGTGTTGCTATTTCAGTACCTCATTAAATGGACCTGATTGAGCCATAACTACGGTTGTCATACATCTGTTAGAGTTCACTTACAGCCTGAGCAAAGTTACACACAAGGACCAACATGCCTCACTACAGCCTTTTCTGTTGGACTTTGGCTGCTGCACACAGCTTTAGCTACATTTTATTTAATATTTTTTCCCACTGTGCCAAAGACTCTTCTTCTGTTTCCTCTCCTCATGCCTGGACATTATGTGGCTCAGTTCTTATAATCCAGCTTTGTTYAAAAAGTAGTTAAATGAAACATTACTCAGATAAATACATGACACGCTGTGAGGAGTTACTGTTAGTCTGATGGAAAGTACGTCTCTTGAATGGTAATTTGTATCCGCTGTTGCCGTTGTCACAGTTTGTGTGTTTCAGCACCACCGACTGTCACTCACATTGATCGCACAAATAAAAGCGCTCAGGATGAGCGAGACGCTCGGCGTGGACGTCTGGCCAGGAAGTCTTTTGGCACGTTGAGATTTAGGATGGCGCTCAGCAGCAGGAGGCAGAAGCCTGAAGTTTCCACGCTGGCTTCAAATGCCCTGATGTAGCACGTGATGAATTTAACCTGGAGCGCAGTTTTTTTAGGAGGTAGGAGGCAGGAGGAGCTTGCATACAATCCTCTCTCACGCCTCATTAGATGAGACATTATYCGTGTACTAGATGCACTGTTTTGAGGCACAGAAAGCGATCATGTCTGGAGGTGTCACCTCTGGATTCCTTTAGCTTGACAACACTTTTCAGAGCTCGTAAATTTGCTCAATGGCCACTCATCATGACTTGATTTGTTTATTCCTGCTGCATCTTGTCGGAGATACAATGCAAAAATACTGAACTGCATTCTTTTCTGTTGGGTGTGCAAATAAATCCGCCAATATACACAAAAATCAAATAAACCAGATTCAGTTTTCCACTTTCACTTGAACTCAAGGCCTTTTACTATAACATTTACATTTGTTACAGGATGTGTGGTTGAATGGAGTCAAGTGCAAAAAGGCAGGCATCTAAAGCAGCAAACCAACAAGGCATATAAGGATCTGACAAAGAAAACCCACACAGTGTAAACACAAAACAGGCTAAGATACATGTGTCAAACTCAAGGCCCATGGGCCAAATCTGGTCCTTGTTAAATTTTTATCCGGCCCCAAAGGGGATAATTTAAATGGAAAATAATTTTATTTTTTCTCTCTTTGTCAAATTTATTTTCATGATGACTTGCCAACTTTCAAACCAAGAAAATTAAATCAGAAATTTTCAGTAATCTTTGATTTTGGTGTGGAAAAAGCAACAGATAATTAACTTTACTC